TTAAACCATAACTTTTAAAATGTAAAAACTGATGTTGATGCAGGTGAAACGGAATATAGATCTGGTCCAAAAACCTGACCAGACCACTAAACTGTCAATTCGTTACCAAACTGTTAATTAATAGAGTTGAAAGTGGGTTAGATATAATTCAATTCAACCCAACTCGTCAATTCATAACTAGTATATATGTAACGTCAATAGAATATATTTAGATACACTGTACTTGGCACTTTGTTAGTTTGCAATTATTTTTTTCCCCGATTTTCTGTATGTGTGTTTTTTAAGTATATAATATTTATATATGACAAATAAAACACATAAACTCACACACCCTCATCACGTTTGGTAATGTTTGAACCCCTGACCTCCTATAAGGCTAAAGACTCACATACTATAAGGCCAAAGGCCCTTTGGTATATGTGTGTTGACTATGACTACCACGTCGATTTTGGTAACCCATAAGCTTGTTTATACTTCTTATATTTTCCATCTCTTGTTTAAGTGTTTGGCTTTTTTGTTTAATGTATGCCTTTCCCATTATCAGTACCAGCAATGGACGAATCGAGACAATAAAAATACAGGTTGAATTGAGCAATGGATAATACTTCTAACACATCTAAAATCTAATGGAAATATGAACCAAATTTATATATAGTTCCCGACTAACCCAAACCCAATCCGCAAGAGTTGGGTTATACTTTTAACAAGTCGGGTTAGGTTGTGATTTTTTCAAACTAGTATAATTGGGTTGAGTTGTTTAAATGTTGCAACTGTCCGACCCAACCCAACCCAGTTCTCCCTAGAGGTTCATTTAGAATTTACCAAATGTTTGAGAATTTATGGACCAATTTTTATTATAAATATTTAATTTATCAATAACCATAAAATATTCATGAATATTATTCATCTTAAATATCATACATTTTCATTATTTACGAATATTTATTATGGTTAATTAACAGATAGTTGGTTTTCAAGATTTTGAAATATCTATAGTTCCTACTTAAACCTACCACTTGTAGAATGAACCACCAAGGAGCAAATGCAAGCGTTTAATATGTTTTCTATTTGTAACCGTAGGTTTTTGGACCATCTTACATGCATTGACTAACAGTGCATTTCCGAGTAAACGCAAGCGTTTAATCACTGATGTTAGGAGTTTCGGTTTATTTACCTTAAATATAGTTTGTAAGCCAGAATCATAACAAACACGTGTTCTAAATGATAAAAGAAGTGAACTCTACAGACGAAAATAATGACTAGCAAACAAATATGAAAGCTTTAATCAATCAAGTACAGTTTGTACTTAGAGATTTCACGTGGTTCCACTTTCGTGTTGTAATGTAGGTCCATGAAAAGAGAAGGAAGATGTTTTATCTGTACATATTGAATCAGAAGTACAATAATTTTCTAAACACGACAAGTGTTTCTCAAATTAACCTCGTTATTGCAGTTCTTTATGTTTTCTGCATATGCCCTAGAAGCCGATATATGACTTAACAAAAAAGTGCATTTGGGTTAGTCTGAAAAAAAAAAATTCGATGTAGTTAAAGTCTAGTTAATGTTGTTCGAAAACCCCCCCTGATTGATCTAGAGTTGGCAAAGTAAAAAATCTTTCGAAGCTGCACTTGTGGTTTCTTGTGGCAGATATTTCAAAGCTGGATTTTTGGACTAGTGAATTTGTGGAACTTTCTTATTGTTTTCAAGAAGTTTATTCTAGAAACAAAATCGAACTAATGCTATAAGAATATATGTACAACGAATAGGTTTATCTGTTATTTTTTTACATGTTCAATTGGTAGCAACACTATAACAGGATCAGGTTGTTTACAATCAAAATTTAGAGTAACTTCAGTAAGGGTGTTTGAACTCTGGTATGGAGTGGTGACAATTAATGGTTTGTCAACATGAACTTAGTTATGTATTTCTAGAAAAATCAATTGAAATACAAAATGTTATTTTTCTAACTTAAGATTAGGGGGTGAACATGGAACTGTACCATGTTTTCTCCTGAATACTGTGTACCTACTAATTATAATTGGTATGGAAAATCCTATCTACTGTATCAGCCACTTTACTAATCATTTTAACTCTTATTAAAAACTTATACACTTGAAACAGTATCGTCTCTCCCCCAAAAAACATGTTTTTTTACCGACGTACGAAAAAAAAATATTTTGTTGCAAATGAACAAGAAATTGAGAAATTGTCCATACGTACAATCATAATTATTGATACGGGCCTTTTTCACATAAAAGGAGAATCTTTTGTTACAACATAAGCAGAACTGATGTGAATTAATTTAATGAACGATTTATTGATACGGGCCTTTTCCACACTAAATGATTTTGATTTTTGGCAAGTCTCATGATTATCCAATAAGAAATGTTTCAATTTTTTTTTCAAATGAACGATTTGAAGACCTATTGATTGTAAAAACTGTGGATCATTCGGACCTTCCAATTCATAGATGTAGATCTCGGACCTATGAATGGGGATATTCCTGAAATTAACAAACAAAAAAGGATGTGAGTTAGATAAAAAAAGAAGCAACTTGTACAAAAACAAACGAACTGACTTAGACAAAAAAGTTTGTTGATAACCTCAGACCAATCAATCGAATATTGATTATGTATATAAAGTATGTTGAATTATATTCACATGTTACATGGAAAAAAAGAAAGGGCTTTTGGTGTACAATCATAATTGTGAACTCAATTGATATACATATTCATATGCAGGCCCGTTCCTGATGGAGGGTGGGCTGGGCTGGGCTTGTGCCCGACCCATGGAAAATAAGGGGCCCTCAAAGAAAATAGTTATGTATTATATGTTATAAAGTGTTTAGTGTTATAACATTAGGCCCAGCCTATGTAAGACCAAAAGCCTTTGAGCCCAACCCCAAACTTAATTGAAGTTTTAACCAATCAGATTGAAGACGTGACAATTGAGAAACCAAGAAAATCTCTTCGCCTTTCTTCCTTCTACTTCGCATCGCACGTATTTGAGAAATCTGCTCAAGTCGATGTCGACCTTCCAATCTTCAGCAACGGTCTTCAATCACGACGGAAAATCCCGTGGATTTTCTTGCAATGATAATCTTTAATTTATGGTTCTTTATATCTTTCGAGTTCGATTCGATATTGACGGATTGGCCTAACTTTTCTCCAATACTTTTGTTTATATGTCTTGGCTACTGAGTATATGAATTTATGATATGTGTGTTTGGCTAGTCACTAGTGGCTACTATCAAAATGCCAAAATGTTTAATGGTTTTGTCAACAATTTGACTACTGTGTATATGATTTATGTTTTTTTTAGGTGGCGTTTGTTTTTTAAGAGGTGCTGAAGTCTGAAGTCTGAATTCACTTCTGATTTTTAAGAGGTTGTGCTGAAGTCTGAAATCTGAATCAGTCAGACTGTTTGTTTTTTGCGTCTGAAATCTGAAGTTTGAAGATGAGAGATCGAGAGTTGATATGGATCGACAGTTGACAAAGTTGAGAGATGAGAGATCGAGACAGAATAGTTGATCTAGAGAAATCGAGCGCAAAGAGATCAGAGTAGGTAGGCGACGATTTGAAATAAGAGGTAATAAGAGGTTTCGCAACCACTTAAATTTTCAGACCTAATAAGAGCTTTTAAGCTCTTAATTGAAAAAAAACAAACACACTGAATCCTCTTATGTCTGACCGATTCAGACTTAAGAGGACATTAAGAGCTTTTTTATTAAAAACAAACAGCCCCTTAGTGTTTTTATCATAGATTGTTTTTTTATACTTGTCCTCACTCGAAGAAGTTGTTTTGCACGAAGTATCATTACTTATTGTTTGCAATTTCACTTTTGATGATAAAAAAAACATTTGTTTGAGATTTGTCCGCGACTCCGTTCATGTGGACTTGGGCTATATATAGGGAGAGGTTCATTTAAGAAGTTGCAAGTATTTGAGAAGTAAGGAAGTGATCTTAGCCTTTCATACAGTTAAGATTGATCAAGAATTGCGACTTTGACTGATCAAGATTTGTGATTTTGATTGATCAAACAAAAAATAGAAGGATAGTTTCGTAACTATTACAAATCGGCAGACAAATAAATATGTGAACCCATACGTGCATATGCGAACCCATAGTTCATATGTAAATCAGTTAATTAGTTCATATGTGAATCACACAGGTTCATACATAAAACAGTTAAATTAGTTCATACGTGAATCACATGGATGCATATATAAATCACACGAGTGCATATGTGAATAATTTAATTAATTCATATATGAATTACACTGGTCCACATATGAACATATAGTTCATATGTGAATCACACGGGTTCACATATGCACTTGTTTTGCCCCCTATTTGTAAAAGTTATGAAACCACCTCTCTATCTTCCGCATACCATGTGAGGAATTATCCGGTACTTCCCAGTCAAAGCCGCAAATTTTGACCAGATAAAGGGCTAATGATCACTTCTCAAATAAACCTATGACTACATATATATATATATATATATATATATATGTGTGTGTGTGTGTGTGTGTACATATCTATATTATATTATAAAACATTCGACAAAAACTCTTAAAAATCATTTTTTATGAATAAAATACTGTTTATTGATACATGTTACATAAAATTCAAGATTACAAGTAATTCAAAAACCACACAAAGAAAATAGGATGATTTACATCTTTCCAATCTATGAAAAGTTAGGATGATAATATTTAGTAAGTTAAAATCAGGTCTCCCACAAAAAGAGGAAATCTGGTATTATATATATAACAAATGATTCTTGATTTACTTACACCATCACACTTCCAACACACCATTCAACCCACAAGAACTCTTTATTTTAACCTTTTCATGCTGTTTCTTCTCCAAACCAAACTTTCTCCAAGAACCCCCAAATTCACTCCTTATATATACATCCCACCTTCATCAACCTTTCTCCACCAAATCTCCATCTCCTTTAAGCTCAACTTGTGGTGTTCTTCCCATAACCAACCATGTCAAACACCAACGGCAACGGTGTCGCTGAACGCCGCGATTCATCCGCAACTAGGCGCGCTCCTACTCCTGGAAAAGCCACCGTGCTGGCAATCGGCAAGGCCTTCCCGAGCCAACTCATTCCACAGGATTGCTTGGTTGAAGGCTACTTCCGTGACACCAACTGCGCTGATTTCGCCATGAAAGAGAAGCTGGCACGCTTGTGTAAGCACGCTTAATTTGGTTAATTACCCGTATTTACTTGTGTAGTACTTCTTCTTCTTTAAAACACGACTGTTTTGTTCCTCCTTGGATTTGAACCTGAACCTCCTGATACTTTTGACCTTTGGAGACTAAGCTCAAATCGATCGGTCACCACAACTCCAAATTACGAAAACATGTATAAAAAATTGTACCTTCAATGCATGCATGCATGCATTTAGTTTTGTTTACATCTTCAACAATCTTTCCTTTTTGTTTGTTCTTGTTTTTGCAAATGGTAGGCAAAACAACCACAGTGAAGACCAGATACACAGTAATGTCCAAAGAAATCCTAGACAAGTATCCAGAACTAGCAACCGAAGGCTCACCAACTATTACGCAAAGGCTCGATATAGCGAACCAAGCCGTAACCGAGATGGCAAAGGAAGCTAGTTTAGCCTGCATCAAACAATGGGGTAGGCCTGCAGGAGATATCACTCATGTAATCTATGTTTCCTCAAGCGAAATCAGACTTCCAGGAGGCGATCTCTATCTCGCTAGCGAACTCGGCCTAAGAAGCGATGTTAATCGCGTGATGCTCTATTTCTTGGGATGCTACGGGGGCGTTACAGGCCTTCGAATCGCTAAAGATATAGCCGAAAACAACCCTGGAAGCCGAGTCTTGTTAACCACTTCTGAAACCACCATTTTAGGGTTTAGGCCACCAAACAAATCCCGCCCATACGATCTAGTCGGAGCTGCTCTTTTCGGAGACGGAGCAGCAGCCGCCATCATCGGCGCTGACCCAATGACCAAAGTCGAATCTCCTTTCATGGAACTGAGCTTCGCTGTTCAACAGTTCCTCCCAGGGACTCATAGTGTGATCGACGGGCGGCTTTCTGAAGAGGGTATAAACTTCAAGCTGGGAAGAGACTTGCCACAAAAGATAGACGATAACATTGAAGGGTTTTGCCAGAAACTGATGGAGAAAGCTGGTGGTTTGGAGGACTTCAATGATCTGTTCTGGGCGGTGCACCCTGGCGGTCCGGCGATCCTGAACCGGTTGGAGACCACATTGAAGTTGAGAGGGGAGAAACTGGATTGTAGCAGAAGGGCATTGATGGATTTTGGGAATGTGAGCAGTAACACCATCATTTACGTGATGGAATACATGAAAGAAGAGTTGATGAACAGAGAGAATGGAGAAGAATGGGGACTTGCTTTGGCTTTTGGGCCTGGGATCACGTTCGAAGGCATTCTTCTTCGTAACCTCAATTAGTAACTTGCGATGCAAGGAAAACCCTCTTCTAGGATACTTGAATTTCAAGCTAAATAGTTGTTATAATTAAACACAGTAACCAAATGTTATTCGGATGTTAGTTTTCTTTCTGTTCCTAAATATTGCAAGAAAATCGTATTCGAGGTGTGTTAACGATCGAAAATGGAATCAAATGTTGATTTTGTGTTCAGAATCATGCATTGTATGAAGTGGGATAATGAGATGTATCAAGTCTAGGGCTGTAAACGAACCTAACGAACACGAACGGATGCTTGTTCATGTTCGTTCGTTTAGCTTAACCGAATAAACGAACGAACACGAACGGTAAACGAACGAAAATAATTGTGTTCATGTTCGTTCGTTTAGAAATCAGTTGTGTTCGTGTTCGTTTATGGCCGTTCGTTAACATGTTAAACGAACATAAACGAATGTAAACGAACAGACCTACACGAACATAAACGAACATAAACAAACAAACACCAATACTGTCATTCAATTAACTATTACACAACAATTATCCATAGATTAAACATACACAAAACAATCATCATTCATCAACCATCATTAATATACCAATACTTAAAAGGCCCAATACTTCAAAGGCTTTTTAAACTTTGAATCCAAACTAAATAAATAAAAAGTTATATATTAAAAATTAATATATAAACGAACGAATATGAATGAACGTAAACGAACATAAACGAACGTAAATGAACAAACGTTCACGAACATAAATGAACAAACGTTCACGAACATAAATGAACGAACGAGACTCATGTTCATGTTCGTTTGTTTAACTATACGAACAAAAAATTTTGTTCATGTTCGTTTATTTATTAAATAAACGAACTTTCCGCCGAACGGTTCATAAACGGTTCGCTGAACGTTCGGTTCGTTTACAGCCCTAATCAAGTCTAGGGTTCTTACTAGATATTCTAATTAGTGTAGGGTCGTAGTTTCGAATATCGATAACGATCAAGTGATTTCACGTACGGGTCCAAAAGACGTTAAGAAACCACAACGCAAATTGATCTCGTACAATAAAAACGGATAAACGACATATAGATGTTGTATATTGTGATCCAATGAAGAAATATTGTGTACTAAAACTTACGATAAGCGGTAAAAAGAAGTAAAGTTACAAATTTTACGGGGGAAACAAAACAATATGTGATATTTTGATTAGCAACACGTGAATAATGAACGAATAAGTCGAATAATAAAATTAAGACGGCAAACACGAATAAAGAAAGCAAATAACTCACGAATATAACATGGTTCGATCAATGGTATTGGGATCCCAGCAGTCAAATCACTGTCTTCGTTCCTCACTCTATTGATCCAAAACCTGTATGTAGACCTGGGCCTCCTCGGCAAAGATTTATTGGTATCAGATACGCATCGGAATTTGAAAGTCAGTCAAGCAAGAAGAAAAGCAGGATTAGCTTTCAAGCGGTCTTAAAAAAATTGGGATCTATTGGGCTTTTATTCATGGAAGAGAAGCCCAAGTTAAAGAGAGTTACAAATCAAACTTACAAATTGTAATTCAAGCTCTCAAAGCTATTAGAACTGATGGTGATGGCCAAACCGGCCCGGGACCAGTAAGGATCGGTTATAGGACCGAAATTTGGGACCGGTTATGGATTTGAGGTGTTTCATGGGACCGAGACCGAGACCGGTTATGGACCGGCCCAGTCCGATTCGATTTTTAAAAAATGTAGCTTTTTTTAAATGTAGCCGTTATTTTTAAAAAAAACTAGCCGTTTTTTGGGCTTTTTTTGTATTTTTTGCTTTCTAAACACTATATATAAGTGTCTTGATTAAGAAATTTACATACCAAGTTTTCGATTCGCAAAAAACGCAAAAAAACGTTCATAATTATCGGTTTATCGCTATATTTTGTAAGACAATGTAATTTTAATTATAATAAAACGCAAATTTAAAGTGTATTTGAGTGACCCAATTACAAATTTTATGATGTATTAAAAATATATATCATTAAAAAATAAAATAAAAAAAATATTTTTTAATGACCGGACCGGTGGCCCATAACCGGTTACAATAAAGCTTGACTGGGCTCAATTTTTTCGATCAGTACCGAGACCGGTTATGAGAAATCTTGAGACCGGTTGGGCCTGGCCCGAGACCAGTTTTTGGCCATCACTAGTTCTGATTATGTGTTTATCTTTGATTTTCTTGATACTATGGTTGAAAACAAAGAAGAGAGTTTATACTAAAACCCATATGTGAATACTAAATAGATCCATCCAAATGCTAAAAACATGGATTTTTTGATTCATCGTGGTTCACGGGTGTGAGGAAACCGTTCATGGCCGTGAAAGGCACAGAAAGAGTTTGCGCCAAGCCTTTAGTTTGACATCTTATAGGTCATGGGCGAGATGTAAAAAGGGGTCATGGATAAATACTAGAAAATCTATCAATATATAGTTTTTGGCATAAAAATTTCAGCGAAATTCAAGAAATACTGATAATTTATATAAAACCGTTTTTCATCACCATGTTGGTTATAGCTTGATAGTTTAAATATGATTTGGTATAAGTTTGTGATTAAACTCTGATGCGGTGTTTCTTATTTTGTTTGGATCAATACAGAGTCATATGCATATTCAACGTTCTTTGATTAAAAGTTGGTATAATGTTAGGCTGGTTTCAAATCGGTTCCTTTAAAACTGAGCGGTAGGTTCTGATCCCTACCAAAATCCTAGGATTGATCCTAGGCCCGGTAACCGTTTCCGTTCCATCGGGTTTGTCCAAATGCAATCTCGGGCCCAACTTGGTTAAATAAAAGGTTTAAATTATTTTTACATCAAATTGTTATACATGATTTATGAGTTTTGAATTTAGCATTGAAATATATATTAAATAATACATTTAAGTAGAAGAAATCGTGAAAAACGTTCATAAAAACATGGAAATTTTGAAAAATAAAACTTGAAATTTTGTAAAATATCATGTATTATAATTTATAAAAACTTTTTTTTTTGAAAAATTGGTGCAATACATAACCAGTCTCAGTTTAATAACTGATCTCAGGTCTGATCGGGCCTTCAAACCCCATAAAACTTGTACCCGATCCCCGACTTTCAGATCATAACCAATCCCATGCCGGACTAAGCCTATTTCATCATCTTACATAAGTTATAATCGACAACATCAAAGCTCAAAACCATAAAATTCGAGCTCAGCAGCCCATTAAGACCTTATGTGGGCAGTAGGTCAGAGTAGTGATGGCCAAAAATCGGTTCTAGATCGGGCTGGGTCGAGCCTAACTGGTCCTAAGATTTCTCATAACTAAACCAGCTATAATCGGTCCCGGTTACCCGGTCGAATAGATGAAGACCGATCAGGCTAGTTTATAACCAGTTATGGGCCACCGGTCCCGTCCCAACCGGTCCGACCCTTAAAAAACTATTTTTTTTTAACTTTTTAATGATATATATTTTTAATACATTATTAAATTTGTCGTACAGGTCACACAAATACACTTTAAAAATACGTTTTATTACGAGAATTGTGAACGTTTTTTTGCAAATTGAAAACTTGGTATGTAAACCTCTCAACCTTGTTACATATTTATAGTATTTAGAGGCCAAAAAATACCAAAAAAAAATGGTCAAAAAGGACTAGTTAACGGCTATTTATTAAAAAACGGTCATTTTTTTAATAATTCCTGATTTATGGGACCCACCTCCAAAACTTATAAATCGTGCTATAAAACGAAGGTGATTTTTTTCCCCTTTTGATGTGCTTCACCGGCTCCACGTGGCAAGAAACGACATGGGTGCCACTGCCACCCTATATAGGTGGCTCCACGTTGCAAGAAACGACATGGGTGCCACTGCCACCCTCACCCTATATAGGTGGCCTAACTTTGAATCGTATAATAGGAGTCTACATGAACGATAAATGACTTCCAATCGGTTAATGTGTTCCACAAAACAAATGACTGACTTCAACTTATATCCTTTTGTCGTCCCCATCTTAATCATACTATACAAAAGACCAAAACTATCGCATTCTTTCTTTTGTAGTACTATCCTAACGTTACCTCCATGACCAACGACTCTTGTTTTGGGTCATTATGCCTTTTGGTATCACGAGCGTTGTGGACGATTGATAAACGTTGAACGTGTTTTATGTATGGTTTGGTTCCTCATGCACATGGCCATCCATAAATGTCGCTTTTTGATTCACTGATAATAAGAAAAACATTATCGTTATCGTTATCAACATTCACGTTGCTCTCGGGAACAGTACTTTCTTTGGAATATTTGGTGTTTTGTAGTGTCTTTGTTTCTAGTAAGGACAAGTACATATAGCTATATATGTGTATAGAGATGTATATATACTAAAAGTTGGTATTTTGAATTTTTTAAAAAACGGTATATGGGATTGAAGACGGATTATGTATATGTTCCTTTCAAAAGGTTTATCTGGCATACGATCAGATATCTCAAACAAGAAAGTTTAATAATTTTTTGTTTACAGAGAGTTATAGCATGTTCAGATAATTGTATGAAAATATGGTATGTTTCCTAAAATGAAGTTTTTGGAAGCGGGTTCTTCAAACTAGGAACCAAAACATAATATGTTCAATTTTAATGCAATTACACTACAACAAAATCGGGTTTATAGGACACTTCCAAATTCTAAGTGTCCTAATAGACCTCTTTATAGGATATAGCTTGTACGACCAAAAAAATAAAATGTCTTATGTAAAGGTGTTGTAATAAGTTTATATGACGTTTTTTTACGTTGTAATAAGTTATTTAGGACATTTTTAATATAAAGCGTTCTATTATCAACTTTATAGGACACTATTTGAAAAAATGTCCTATAAAAACAAATGTCCTATAAAAAAATTGAGTTTAGAAAGTGTCCTATAAATTCGCTAATACGACACTTTGTATTAAAAATGTCCCAAAAAACTTGTTAAGACACCCAAAAACGTCATATAAACTTATTACAACACCTTTAGA